CCTGAACCCCTAAACCCAAAACCCTCAAAACCCTAAGAGGCCCGAAGGGCTCAGCGACTTGGCGGCTTCGGTGACGGCCGCGTCACTCATCTCCTGCTTGACGCTCTTAGGCTTTAGGGCTTAAGGTTTAGGGCTTAAGGTTTTGCGCATAAGGTTTTAGGGTTTAGAGCTTAAGGTTTAGGGGCTTAAGGGCTTAAGCTTTAGGGGCTTAAGGGGGTAAGGGCTTAAGGGCTTGGGGGTTTAGGGGTTTAGGGCTTTAGAGGCTTAGGGTTTAAGCCTTACGGCCTACTCCCAAACATTCAAACCTAAACCCGAAACCCGAAGCCCAACTCCACAACCCATCTTGCTAACAGACTAAGTAGCCCTAAGGGTCCATGTACCCATATCGTTTATACGGTGCTGTGGCCCTGAAGTACCTATGCAGGGAGTACAGCAAGGCCAAAATATATACACTCTACGGACCCTTAGGGTAGGGCTTGAAAGATGGGTTGTGGAGTTGGGCTTAAACCCAACTTGACAAGTCGGGGGCCTTAGTAAGTCGGCAATCTGTAGACTTATAAGTATCCGAACAAGGATATAACTCTCTTGAACAACTACTTACCAAGTCTCCCGACCTCCCCCCCCCAAGTACTGCGCACTCTGTAACTGTAGGTTCTTAGGATCCCTTGGAGAATGCTGAATTCCGAACTAGACTCGCAGAATAAATCAAAGGAGCCTCGAAGTGAGCGGAGTGGGATTCGAGTATTCAGATGAATCAGGCCTAGTGGGTTGACTGCTTTAAAGTTCAAGAAGGTTTATGGTTTTGGTTGGGGGTTTAGGGCATAGCTTCTGCTTTTCGGTGGGGGGCTTGTGTTTCGAAGACCAGGTCTTCTGAGAGGATGATTGAGGATTGTACACTTTAATTTAGGGTTTAGGGTTTAGGGTTTAGGGTTTAGGGTTTAGGGTTTAGGGTTTAGGGTTTAGGGACTTGGAACAACAACGGTAAGATGTGGTGGACGTTGGGCTTCAAACCTAAACCTTGAATCCTGAACCCTACTTCAGAAGGTGTAGGGAGACGTAGGAGGCGAACCAACACGTGCTCGGAGCATCGTAGCGCTTCCAACATAACATGCATGGCGCATTCGAGGCAGTTTTACACCTTTATCGCCTATCTGTATTATATAGATTAGTTTGAACTGTGCATCAAATTGAACCCTAAACCTGAACTGCGCAGCTGTGCTGTAAAGCATAGCATAACCCTAAACCTCAAACCCCCCAAAACCCTAAGCCCGAAACAAAAAGTTGATGCGGAAACCTCGTACTTAAACCCTAGACCCTTCACCTTAGACACAACACTCTACTTTGAGGATCTTGGGACTTAGTAAGTAGGGTTATAAGTGCCTTATTTCGGGTTGCACTGTATAAGCAACTATATGTTTAGTCACCCTGTTTAAAACCTCCGTTGCTACGTCCCGTGATCCTTTAAGTAAACCCTGCAAGCCAAAAATTATCCCATGAGCCTCCACGGCGCGCGCCCGAGGAGCCAGCACCCTCAGATCCCGACCGGTTTTCGATGGGTTGAAGTCACAAGTGAAGAAGCCCTAAATGCCTAAACCCTTATAAAGCCTAGAAGCCCTATAAAGCCATTGTCCGGAACACTAAATCTTAAACTCCAAACCCTGTAAACCCGATAATCCCTATATCTGAAACTCTAAATCCAAAAAACCCTATGAGCCCTAAACCTAGTAAATTGTGTGTGAAGGTTTTGGGGCCAAGGGTATGACAGTTTGGGGTTGAGGCATTCTTGTTTTAGGGAGTTTAGGGTTTAGGAAGTGTTGGGAGTTTAGGGAGTTTAGGGCTTAGGGTTTAGGGGGTTTGGGGTGTAGAAGACTGAGGCTTAGCTGTTGGGGTTTAGGGTTTAGGGTGTATTAAAGGAAACTACAGGTGGGGAGTTTAGGGTATATAGGGCTTCTATAAGGCTTCCATAAGGTATATAGACCTTCTATAAGGCCCCTATAACGGCAACTACCCACCTGAAAATGTCCTAGAGTGTAGGGTTTAGGTTTGTTTAGGGTGTAATTAGGGTTTGGGGTTTAAGGTTTGTGGGATTTTGGGTTTGGGGGTCGGGGTTTAGGGTTCAGGGTGTAGGGTTTAGGTGTTACGGAACAGAGGGTTATCCCAATCTACAACGCAAATCCGAACCCTGAGCGCCTATCGAGGCTCATCATCCAGAACCAGTCGCCCTACACCCTACTTGGAGGGTCGGGGGACTTAGTAAGTAAGTAGTAAGTAGACTTATAAGTAACCTAAAAGGGACGCTACTTGGGGTTATGGTACTTATAAGTCTATAAAATAACTACTTACTAAGTCCCCCGACCCTCCAAGTAAACCCTAAACCGGAGGCTGCTGGAACTGGAGCGGGTCCAGCCCAAAATTGGTGAGAAGAGCCCTTGACTTGGATCTGTTCAAGGTTTAAGGTTGAGGGTTTCGGGTTCCGCACCTTAATTTCCTAAACCCCACTAAACCCCACTAGACTAAACCCCTAACCCCTAAACCCTAAATCCCCACTAAACCCTAATTGAAAGGAAGCCAAGATGCAGCAACGCCAGCGCAGCCACAACTGCAGCCCGGCGAGCGCGAGGCACCGACGTCCCAGCGTCGATCTATGAGTCTTGAAGGTTTAGGGTTTAGGGGTTAAAGATAAAAGCAATGAACAGAATCGTAATAGTCTTCCTAGAGTCGAGGGTTTAGGGTTTTAATCTTCATCACCTAGGGGCGTAAGGATGAGAGACAGACTTCAATCCAGAGCTGGCTTTATAAAACTGTTGTATTGATTGTCTGGGGCTTTAGGTTGTTGGAGACGGCTTCGAGGTTTTAGGATGGATGGACTCAGCATTCTAGGGCTTCGTGGAGCTCAAGGTTTGGAAGTCTACTTGGAGGATCTTGGGACTTAGTAAGTAGGGTTATAAGTACCGTATTTGGGGTTATAAGCTATTTTAAGTATAGTTACCTTACATATATAGCCTCAGTTACTAAGTCCCATGATCCTTCAAGTAGGGATAGCGCATGGTTTATGACATCTCTACAGCTCTCAGGGTCGACGTCTTGATGCACTTTGGGGTTCCGAAACACCACCTAGCTAGGCGAGGATTGCTCAGACCTCTTGAGTAGCGCTTCGCCCCAAAAGGCTCAAGTACCTAATCATACACACTTCCCCCTGCAATTGCTGAACCCTAAACCCTGAACCCTAAACCCTACACCCTAAGCCCTGAGTAAACCCTATACACCCTAAGCCCTGAACCCTGAACCCTAAACCCCTAAACCCTCAACTGCTGAACCCTAAACCCTGAACCCTAAACTGCTGAACCTGAAACCCTGAACCCTGAATCGCTGATTTCTATCCCTAAACCCTAAACCCTAAACCCTAAACCCTAAACAGAAGTCTGAACCAGGCCATGGGTTCATTTATTGCTCTGCTCCCACTTGGAGGGTCGGGGGACTTAGTAAGTAGCTATCTTATACACTTATAAGTATCATAACCCCAAGTAGTTATTTTATAGATTTATAAGTATCATAACCCCAGGTAGTTTTTTTATAGACTTAGAAGTATCATAACCCCAATTAGAGTCCCTTTTAGGTTACTTATAAGTCTACGTATTACCTACTTACTAAGTCCCCCGATCCTCCAAGCAGAGGACCATGAGTCATGGCACATAGCACGAGATAGCACATTAGAAGTAAAGACATTAGCAAAGATATCGCAGCCCAGGCAACCTACTCATTTTCCTCTAAGGTTCATAAGCCCTGTGATACCCTCACAAACCCTATAAAACTTCCACAACACCTTTCAAGATCCCTGTAAGCCCTTCCCTATGCGGTTCGGCGAAAAGACTCAGAACTCTGGAGTCTGCACAGCACCAGCTCCGAATAGGGATCTAGGTTTTAGGGTTTAAGGTTTAGGGCTTAAGGGTTTGAGGGTATAAAGGTTTAGGGGGGGTAGGGTGTAGGGGTTTGGGGCTCATAGGGTTCAGGGTACAGGGGTTTAGGGTTTAGGGTTTAGGGTTTAGGGTTTAGGGTTTAGGGTTTAGGGGTTTCGTTGTTTATGTGCTGAGGGTTCCGATGTCGCCTGCTCCGGCAGGGGTCCAGCACGCTCCATGCGCGGCATTGCAGGCCTCATCCGAAACCCTGCTTGGAGGGTGGGGACGTAGTAAGTGGGTAATAAGTTGGCTTATAAGTGTCCGAAAAAGGAATCTTCATTGGGGTTGTGATACTCGTAAGTCTCTTGAACAAGTACTTACTGAGTCTCCCGACCCCCCCTCCCCTAGTGGATGTCTACAACCCCGGCCCTGCAATGACTCCAAACACCCTTCACGAAGTACGTACTCCAGCATAGACTATAGAGGGTTCTTTACTAGTTGTTTGTGGTATGTGACTTCACCAAAGGAGGATTACTAGTATGCATCTATCTATCTATCTATATATATATATATATGGTATCCCCCCCCCCCCAAAGATCTACCCGATTCTGTCTGTTTTGAGCTCTTCGTGTGCAATCCCTGCCTATTTGTTCTTCATGTCGTCTGTATGTCTGTCTTCCCACGTGAATACCCCAACATATAGCAAACAAACACACACCCACACACGCA